GGGGGGTTGTTTTAGTGATGATGAGAGCATGGAGACGGGGAGCTGGTTATAGTAATTCGGTTACGTGGTTGTTAAAGAGTAAAAACCAACAAACCAAAAATAGCGACATAACGTTCATCGAGTACACTGAAACATTTTAAAAGGAAAATAAATATTTAAAAAAACAGAGCGAAATAAGAAAAGTAGGACCTACCAGTGACACCCTCCAACGACGGGCAAGGGAGGTTGGAGTTTGTTTTTGTTTTTGTTTTGTTTTTTTAAGGGGGGAGGGGGGTTGATTTGTTTAGATGGTAACGAGTGTCAAGGGGTCAGAGTATGTGGTAAGATAGTTGTTTGTTGTTGTTTTTTGTAGAGGTTTTACGGCACTCACAACCGCATAAGGTCATATGAGCGCCAAGGGGTGGATGTCAACAGAGAAGTCTTAACAGGGAACCAGACTTACTCTGCTCACCTCTCTGACTTCAGCAGCACAAAGTCTGCTTCCACTATCAAGGTACCCCGGAAATAGCGAGTCACAAGAGAGTGACAAACATACAAAAGAAGTAGAGGAAAATGACGATAGTAAGGATTAGAAAAGAGAAAGCAGCAGTTCCCTGTTGTAGTTTAAGTTCGCGCGATTCGCAGGCCTGAAAACAAACGCGTTTGTTTGTGTCGGTCACCGACTAAGTTGCGCCACGATGGCCGCTTTGCGCCCTCAATATGGTTAGTCCTGACTACCAGATTGTTTTTTTCATAACGGTTTTACGGCATTTGCAACACAATAAGGTTATGTAAGTACCGAAGATTAGAAGGGTTACAAGAGAGTAACAAACATAAAAAAGAAGGAGGAGAGATAAAGACAATGGTTGTTTAATAGGAAAGAAGGAGCAAACTACACCAGAGCACCCGCCAACTACCCACGTAGCGTAACCTTCAGCAATTCCTACAATGTGGGTGGTTGGCGGGTGCTCTGGTATGGTTTGCTTTTTCTTCCCTATCAAACATCTATCGTCCTTATCTCCCCTTCTTCTTTTTTATGTTTGTTACTCTCTTGTAACACCTCTAATCTTCTGGCGCTCATATGACCTTATGCAGTTGCGAGCGCCGTAAAACCTCTACTAAAACTAAAAATTCCTACAATAAACTGACACAGGCCTCCCGTCTCCTGACTAACAATAGATCATTTCACGCCTCCCCCC